CCCCCCCCCCCCCCGCTTCCCCATCCTCTGCAGGGGGTGGGGGACAGTGATGCCACCTCCCAGGACCCCGGCGGGGAATCGGCGAGAAAGCACCTGCCGAGCATCTGGGCGTTGATCACCGTGATAGCGAGCACCCACTAGCCGCCTGTGGCCGCTTGGGTTTCAGTTCATTACGATGAAATATTCGGTCTCTCCAGACACCTTTCAAGGGCTCAATGGCCACCTACAGCTTAGCGGCTGCTGTACCGGGCCCACCCAATTGCGGAACGCTTCCAGAGAGTTCTACCGGACAGCTGGAAACTTAGCACCGCCCACGGTCCGGGTGCCGGGCTAAATTGCTTCCCACCTGACAGTTCAGAAGGTCCAGGAACCCCCTCCCCCCACATGGTGGTGGTGCCAGTGAGACTGTTACTCTACAGGAATGTGGGGCTATTCTTGAAGGAGAAGACACATAGGAGCAGTAAGTAAAGAAATTTCCGGGGCGGGGGGTGAGGTGGCCGTCACCACCACCCTCCTGGAGCGGCTTCTAATGAGGCAGAGGAGGCTGGCCTGTCCCCTGGGGGCGCTGCCTTGATCTGAGTGCCCGCACCCTCCCTCCCCTGCCCACCAGCCTCCCCCCGCAGTAGAAAAAGCTCACGCCCCACCGTGGGTGCTGTGGCAAGGGGGCAGAGGCTGCCGAGGGCCAGCCAGGACCCCCGGCCCCGTTGGGCCCACAGACGGGGAGCTGGCTGGCCCTGGGGAGACACGGAAACCACCCCACGGTATCTGCTGGGCGAGCCGGGGTCCTGGGTGATCTCTCTGGGCCCCACGTCCCTCCCCGTAGCCGTGGCCACCAACCTCTGCTCTGCTCCGCGTTCCTCTCCTCCCTTCCTGGATCCACGTGCTTCTGCCCAGCGGTCCCGCAAACCACCCTCAACTCCACCGGAAGCCCCAAACATAATGCTCCGCTTTGGAGATTCATCCCACTTGGCCCCACTGGCCACCTGGACGTGGCTCATTGCTCCCTCCTGGAAATTCCGGCTTCTCCGGCCTCCGAGGCTCCTCACACACCTGCTGGCCTCCTAGCCCGGCCCAGCATCAGAGACCCTGTGAAAGCCCAAGTCTGACCATGTCTCTGCTCTGCTCAGTCCCCCTCACTCACAGCCCCCTGGACCCGCAGGCTCTCGCCTCCTCTGCTCCCCGAGCACATCTCCAGCTGCCCTGCTCCAGCCGGCCTCCCTGTTTTCCTTCAGCCACACAGGCACATCCCAGCCACCGGGCCTTTGCACCTGCTGTGTCCTCTGCCTGGAACACCATCCCTCCAGAGAGCTCCAAAGCTCAATCCCTCATTTCTTCCAGGGCTTTGCCCAAACGTCCCCTTAGTGGATGTTGGTTTTCATGGGCAGCCTGAGGGCAAACGCTTGATAGATGCCGATCCGTGTTAACGTATACGATGTTCTCAGGTTCCATTCATTCGTTCGCCAAGCACGTACCTGCCGTGTGCCCCTGAGCGACGCCCACACAGAACCAGCTACAACACAGCCTGGGAGGGAGGCCGGCCAGTCCAGGACCCAGCCGGGGAGCCTCAGGCTTGATCAGCTCCAAGGCCCCAGGGAAAATGACCCCGCGGCCGGTCTGAGCACGCCAGCCGGGGATCCCGGAGGGACTCCTGGCTGACAGGGACGTCACCTGGACACAGCGTGCTTTGTCAGAGCACGCAGCCTGGTGATATCTGGCTGCAGGCACATCCCCCCTCCCCTCCCCCTCCCTCCCTCTGCCTCCAGCTCTTCCCGTCATTTTCCAGGAACACATCCTTCCTTGAACACAGGGGCCCCCAGAAGCAGGGGGGCCCTCCTCTCCTACTTCTCCCCTCCGGTCCGGCAGGGTCCACCACCCGCGAGGAGTCTCCCCACCACTGACGCGTGCCTGGGCTCCGGGGTCAGTGATGGAGCACCCACAGCAGGTGCGTCGCCACCAAGAGGGCGTGTAACTCCCCGGGAAGGGCAGTTGCGGGCGCGCGCGGCTGTCTGAGAGTTCGGGGGGGAGTCCGTGCCCACCCGCCCTGGCACTGGTGAGCTGCGCGACCCTGGGCAAACGTCTCCCCCTCTGTGTGCCTCTGTCTCCTCCCCCTCAGGGAATAAGAACAATTAGGACCGCCTCGAAGGGCTATTATCAGGATTTTCGGGAGACGCTGGCACAGGGTTTGGCAAATCACAGGTGCCCAGCTGGTGGCTGTTACCACGATTATCCTTCCCCACTGGTCCCCCACCCCCGAGTCCCTTCCCGGAGCCCTGCTCGAGAGACCTTTCCAAGCACGCAACTGCCCAGGTGCCCCTTTGCCTAGCCCCCACCCCCCCACCACCGTGGCTCCCTGCACAGGCCAGTGTCTGAGGGTTTGCAGGCTCTGACTCCTCATGGGTGGGAGTGTAGCTCAGCAAATATTTACGGAACGGACGCATGACCGACTCATCCACCCGGAGGTGTTCGGGGCGGGGGGCGCGGGCCTCTCGGTGTTCGGTATTATTCTCAGCCCCGGTGTCAGGTAGAACCCCGGCCCGGCCGTGCCCACTTGGACGTGGCATCAGCAACTGCTAGACCGTCAGTGACCCAGAGACA